TGAAAAGGGCTCCTGACGGATTCCTTTTTGGGGTTCAGTAATGTAGGGGCCTTATTCATAATTCTAACGGGGCTTTGGGGGGTCCTTTATAGTATAAGTATAATAAGGAACCCCCAACATGATATAGGTAATTATTGAGGCCCTTATATTACGGTTACCATAAGGGTTACTATAGGGTTTAGGCATCAGGATCTGGAGCTTGGGGCTTAGCAGCGCGGTTTGTAGCCTTTGCTGCTTCTACATCGTCTCATGCACCGCATACTTGGAGGCCCAGGGGACTTAGTAGTAGGGTTTAGGGTTTAGGGTGTAGGGTTTAGGGTGTAGGTTACAAGTAGAGTTCTAAGTACCCTAGCTGGAGTTACCCCAATTATAACCCTACTTATAACCGACTTACTAAGTCCCCTAGGCCTCCAAGTAGATTCAGCAGTAACAAGGCGATCCCCAAATGAACAAGCTTGAGGCTATTACTACCGGAAAACCCCCAAACCCGAAACCCCGAACCCTAAGCCCGAAAAACTGAACCTAAAATCCGACATCCTAAACCAAGAAGGTGAGTTGCAGACGTAGACATTCCACACAAAGGGCCTTCAGGCATTGAGCCTGAGCTTGACGCCCCACCACCTAGACTAGGACCTAGACCCGCTACCCCGACACAGAAAGTCTTGAACCCGAAACCCGAACCGTAATATAGGGGCCTAAACAATTACCAACACCGTTTTGGAGGTTCCTTATTAGAATTATAGTATAATGTACGCGGAAACCCTATTCTACTTATTAAGGCCCCTACATTACAGTCTAAACAGAACAGGGGTTCCGAGGTTGAGAGCTTACCATAGAAAACCCATAACCCTGCAACCTTCTACTTGGGTGACCTGGCTTCCGAAAAAAGTCCCCTTTAAACCCTAAACCACCACAACCCCCAAACAATAAATCCTAAACCCAAACCTCAAAACACCTACACCCCCTAAAAAACCATATAAAACCCTAAGAAACCCCAATCCCCAACAGCCGCAAACCCCAAACATGAAGACCTTAAGCCATGAACCGTAAGGCTCTACATCCCAAACCCTAACGTCAAGGGTTTAGGGTTTAGGGGTCCCAAAACCTAAACTCCTAAAGACCTATAGTACCCTTATAGTCACCCTAATAGCTCCTCTAAGGCCCTGAGGCTTCTTGGAGGGTTCCTTTACAGGTTTCGTTAAAGAGTTCCTTTAAAGGAACCCTAAACCCTAAACCCCAAAGCCTTTTGTTCTTAAAGGAACCCATAAGGTTCCCTAAGGCCCTATATAACCTGAAACTCCTTCCCACTGCTCTGGCCTTGGCAAAGCCTAACTTCAAGGCCTTGCCGGCCGCCTGGGGCAGAGCTCCATGCCAACCCGAGACCCAAAGTAGGATTTAGGTAGTTCTCTAAAATAGGGTCCTTCTTTAGGTCACGATTTAGGTAGTTCTCTAAA